GGCAGGCGAGCATTCTACCACTGAACCACCGACGCGGTACCGCAAAGACCTTATCACAGCAACGTCGTGATTTCGTAAAACTAGAGAAGTTATATTTTAAATACCTAAAAACTGGCCGTGAAATTCATCAATGTTACTGAGAGTTGTCTTCTTACTGTTGTAGAAGCAACCAACATCAATTATTGCTTAACTCCAGGGTAAGCCACTGAACCTGCACCCGCTCGTCGTATGGTTTGTAGGAAACTGCCATATTCTCATTTGTTGATTAATTAGAAGATAAAACAACAAAAGACGCCTAAAAGAGCGAGATGTTTATAGAAAGAATTGCAGTGATTTATTGACATGATAGCAAGAATGTTTTTCTGCTTTAGCGCGGGGTTAACGAAATTGTATGTAAACTATTGGAAGGAACAGGAATTCTTCGTTGGCTGCAGTAAGGTCGTGGTTATTTGGCAGATTCCAGTCTATAAAATTTGAAGGCTGTTGCGCAGCATGAGCAGCTTGCTGCTATAATGCTGCTGTTCTATATAGTTCTTAAAAATAATGACTTGTGCAGGAATAAGTTTTATCTTCGTGAATGATGCATTGGCCAGTTAGAATCCCGGAGGAGGCAACTACCATCTTTCATTACTTGACTGCTAATGAAAGCACCCAGCTTGACGTACCGTAAGGCTCACTCGTGCTTGAAGTGGCAGGTAAAAGACCACAAGTAAAATACTTTCGACAGAATCAACATGGTCGCTAAGCGAAGCGGCAGCAACAATGTCCTCTTCTTGTGTTTTTCGTCATCTAAACTAAGAAAAGTTTATTGTTTGAACGTTTAGAGTTTATAGTTATTGAGTCGTTGTGAAAGCAGCGGTTCAACGAACAACCGCTCGTTGCACTGCTTGCTTTGGCGTTGAGCAAGGTGGACGATGATCTTTGCTATGACGATATTAACAAGACAATTCTCAGTGACACTGATGAATTTCACGGCCACTTCTTAGGTATTTAAAATATAACTTTTTTAGTTTTGTGAATTCACGACGCTGTTGTGGTGTAGAAATCTTGCGATGTCGCGTCGGTGGTTCAGTGGTAGAATGCTCGCCTGCCACGCGGGCGGCCCGGGTTCGATTCCCGGCCGACGCATTGCTTGGATTAATGAACCTTTTTTCGTGTATAACTTACAATTTTACGAGTATCAAAAAACATTAGCGCAGGAGAAGCGTTTGCACGCTACGAAAGTCGTAAATTTAACAGAGTGGAGGTTGATATGAACAAAATCTTTTAGCGGTTGGCGCATCAGTCTTTTTGCTTTCTGTAGTTACAGAACTACTTCGTTGGCTCTACACGTGGTAGTGTAGAATTTCACAGAGTAGCCCCAACCAGTAGTAAAAGTAGGTGATTCTTGGTAGCTAAGTGGGAATACAAAGCGAACGAACACCAAGCTAGGGTATACGATATTAGCGCTGCCAAGTATGGACGAAAATAGGTATTTTAGGAGAAAGTACACGTTTTAGTTGTACTTGAAGAAGCAGAATGTGGTATTTTAAGAAACATAGTGCACTAAAAATGAAATTTTTTATAGTGGATCAGCTTTGCGGTACATTATTGAATTTGTGGTAAAACTTAGTTTGTATTTCAATTATTTTGAGCCAATTGATGGGGGTTTAAAAGCTCTTGTCAATTTCTTGTTCTTTAGCAGTCATAACAGGTGCAGCTGCACAAAAAATCTTATAGTGATGCTACAGCTACAGCAGACTAAGGCGTATTTATAAGACGTATTTACAATATTTTAATTTTGAATATTTTATTTAACAAAGCACTTTTTTGCGACTTTTCGTTATTTGTGGAAAGATTGAGGCTCCGCCCCTCAGCTGGGTGAGGATTCAGTGGAGTAGCTGCAGGGTTCTTTGTGGCAGAGCAAAGAGTGCTTTGTGAAGTTTGTAGTGAAAATGTGTTACAAGAAATCAGCACTTTTCTGGTAAAATTTTTTATTCTGACAAACAAAAGTTTAATTGGTCCTGAGAGTGATTCTGAAAAGTTATTTAAAGGACCAGACTGAAGGACATGATTTGGAGATTAAAACTTTAATCGCTATTCCTCTGTAAGATTAAACAGGAAGGAGGTAATGATAGAAGAAATGCTTTATGTGCTTAACAGGTAATAACTGATAACGTCTTTTCAGCACTGCAGAACTTCTCTTTTTGAACAAATACCTCGCAACGTTTTAGTGAGTATTTGTAAAAGCAGACTTGAGCAGTGTGTACTGTACCAAAAGAATGACATGTTTTTTTTTTTTTTTGAGTTGTACGACAGAAAACTCCAAAAAATTTTTTTATTTGCGTCAAAAAACTAAATCAAAATAGACTTTAAATTTTTCAGTTAAACAAATTCAACTTTCTTGAATAAAATACTTATTCAAAAGTACGAGTTCCATTGTCG